AACACTGTTAACTTCGTAAGTTCCGCTCTTCTTATCGGCTACTGCAATCTTGAATGGTCCAATGTATTTAGCCGTAAGCAGAGTTGTATCGGAGTTGCGAGCCATAATGTTGACTATATCGCCTACCTCAAACTCGACTATCTTTTTTGAATCATTCCATCGCTTTTGTCTCTTCTTGAGTGCAATGTCCTTCATCTCTCTCAAACAAGGAAAGACGACGTCTTGAGAATCCTTGTTGAAAGGTAGTTGTAATCCACTATAACGGCCCCTGAAGTAGTGGGCGGGTGTTGTACCAGTGACTGAATCCGTTGTCTCGTTCATTTGTGTCTGTACCCAGTTAATTGAGTATGGCCACAAGTCAGCATCGTCTAGCAACGCTCTACGCATGAACTCATTCATCTTTCTGTGTCGTACCTCATTCGCACCCTGTGTCTGAGGCTTATAAGGTACATCCATTTTGTGGCATGATCCCGCAACGAGTAACAGCGTTGTCATGACGTCTCCTACCGTTGTTGGTATATACTATAGCTGGCCAGCCGAAATCTGCGAAACACTTATAAATGCACTCAGCCACCGTTTGTGTTGATTTGTCTTTCAAAGGATACAACACATTATATCTTGAAGCGACATCAAAAACGTGGCAGACATGCTTATCTTTCGTGTGTTCGGATGTGGGTAGCTCAACCAAATCAATGATAACCCTGCGCCATGGCTCGTCTTCTGATACACTCCACAATGGGGCATATCCATAGCGCTTGATCCGGTTAACTTCGCAATCGTTACATGCGTGATACATCAGAGATATATATATTGCTTAAGCTTAGGGTGTACAATCCTGTACCTCTTGCAATCCTTCTCAGTCCTAACCTTATTTATGTGTTTAAGTGCATGATTCTGCCTTAACCACTTCAGAATGTCACCCTCCGTTGATCTCGCTACATCAAAATCTGGAGGTGAGGAGTCCACGACTACATCACCCGGACTCGAAGACTCGTCTCGTCCAATCTCGCCTGAAATGTCGGCCGTGTGAATTCTACTAATGTTCTCTTTGTTCATTAGTTGAGTTACATGGCTGTATACATCTGAATAATCGTTCATCAACTGTTTGAGTAGCCTGGTCTCGGCCTCGTATGCAGTTTCTCTATCAGAACGTATCTTTTGTAAAATGCCTTCGCTAGTGATGAGTTCCTCTTTGCATCCTTAGGATCAGATTGTACCTCGGTAACGCATACTGCAGGTGCGTGTGTCGCCCCAGCCTCTCGTTGAGACTTAGGTGTCAAGAGTGGAATCTTGGATTCGTCGACCTTACGTTTGAAGGTGACGGTTGTACCAACTGGACCTATTCGACATATTATTGTATTTCACCAAGGCGTCTTCTGGACTGCACGGGTACCCTGGTAGAGGGAAGTATCTACCTCTCTATCCGCATATATGGGCTCACATTGTATCATCGATATCAACTGTGTTAGCCATTTATCTGAATGTCTTAGGGGACAACACTACGTGATGGTAGCATCTTGTATATGAACATAATTTAGCAACTGTGGTATCAACAACCACGGTGGATTCGCCCATGCGTTCTCATCGGATAAATCTATTTGAAACCCATCACCGTCTGGGTGTTCCAGAGTCCGGTATCGCGGCAATTGCGCATTATGATGTGCTGCAAACATATCGACGGTATGTGGTCCATGTATACTGTCTGCAATTTTAAACCACCTAGGATTGGCCTTCCAATCCGTAGCTAGCAATTCCCGAACCATCTTGTTAAAATCCGGTACGAAGCGTGACAGCATATCCGGTAAATGATTGTGTAAACCCGGTATATGTGTAATGCTAAAAGAAACTTTGCGATCGTATCGTGCCATCGACTGACCAATTGTGAATTTGGTTTCATATCTTTTAAATGTTGCAACGATTTCTGATCACACAGTACATTAAAAGGTGTACCGTATAGGTAATCCTTAAAATGAGTGAGTGCGGTCACAATAGCTAATAGCTCTTACTGCGCAGCCGGATAATTGATTTATGACGAGTTCATAGCTCTGCTAAAGAACTGCACGTATCTCGGTTTCCCGTCAATCATTTGATACAGAACACCTCCCAACTCCATGTCGGATGCGTCTGTAGCCACCATGAAGGGTACTCTATCTTGTGGTGGCTGGACTACTGGGGCTTGTTGAACCACTGTTTTGAGCTGCTTAAAGGCATCATCACAGTCCTTGGTCCACAATGCTCCTAATTTGTTCTTATGACATCTCAAATGTCCGACAGGCTTCAAGTAGCTTGCCAGGTGTAGGACTCTATCTGACAGCATATTATCGAACCCGCACATGCTGTTCCCGTCCTTGCCTGTAGTGGGAGTTCTCCAGTCTCTAGTAAGTGTTCTACCTTTCCGGGGTTGATCATTATGCCATCCTCAGATACACGATAACCCAACAGCTGTATCTCGTTCACACCGGAATGTCATTTCTTGCTGTTGATTTTAAATTTGTGTTTGTTAAGCCTGGCCAGTATATCTCTTACAACCTTGTCATGCTCCTCTTGAGTTTTAGTAAACACGACAATGTCATCGATATATACTTGTACGTTGTCCATATTCCTTAACAGGCCTTGCATGATTTGCTGAAAGAAGAAGGCTGGTAGCATATGCAAACCAAAAGGGGCTCCTTTAAAATAATACTGCTGGCCATCCCAAGTAAAGGTGAAAAACTTCCGATGTGGTTTGTATATATTCATTTGGTGGTAGTATTGCTTCAAATCGATGGTTGAAAATATTTTCGCACCTTCCATTCTTCTCAGCAATTCATTGATTCTTGGTAAATGGAAATTATGTGTGGGTATAAGAGCGTTTACAGAATTCATATCCAAACACGCGCGAACCTTCTTTAACGTGCCATCGGAGTTGGACTGGTCTACAGCCAAGAGTGCTAAGTTGACAGGAGTAGGTTCGTAGTTGACCATGCTTTGACTTGGTCTCGTGCCACCTGTTCATGACGCTACGCTACATAATTCCGCGTTGGGCATTTCAACTTCGAAATGTCCACTTTTGTCAAATCTAAGCTCACGCATCCGTTGTTGAATTTAAACTGAGCCCAGTCCGTGATCTTTATCTTGTCGTTCTCAAAGATAAGAATTTTCAGCTTCTCTGTGAATTGGGGTATCATTTCCTTCACAGACTTAGAAGGCTTGTATACAAGCTTCAGCAGATTATCATCTGACTGATCTTTCTGTGGGTCAATGTTAGTAGGCAAACCGGTAATTGTTATACCTTACGATAACAGGTCTCCCATCCCCACTATTAATTCATAATATGGCGAAGTGTTACAGACTACTGCCCTAGTCACTGTGGTCCGTTGATCTGTTAGGGTAAACCTCAAATCTACGGTCATGTCACGACACGTAATCTCCCTTTTGTTAGCCAATTTTAACCTAGTAGGTTCTGATTTACGAGTTACATCAGTTATCTTACAGAATCTCGATGATAGACATGAAATCTGCGAGCCCGGATCCAACAACGCTTTTATTTCATGCCCATTAACTCGTACATCCAGGATGACGCGCTCATCTTGCGGTGCATCCCTTTGTTTCAGTGCCAAGATCCGGTAAGATTGTTACCTAACTTTGGTAACCTCCAGTCCCTTCACAGTCTGCACACTTCGCGATAAAATGTTTACACTTTTCTGCGTTCCTGCCATTCCAGCGTCTATTCGGCTCAAGTTGGGTCATGCGCCAGCTGCAATCTGTCTCAGCACAGTCCTTGGTCTCCTTATATTTAGGTTTAGGAGGATCAGCTGCCTGATTAGATCTATTGCCCAAAGTCCCGCGAGTGTTGACATTGTTATTTTGACCATCAGTACCTTGCATTGGCTTGTTCTTATGGCCTCCTCTGTCACCACCTTTGTGCCCTTTGTTATTTCCCGTACCGGTATGAGAGTCTCGACCGTTACCTGGTCCTCCATTCGTGTTGAGTACCGTCTTCTTAGTAGACTGTGTGAATTTCACCACAGAACTAGGACGTTTCGAAAACGTCTGGTCTGCTCTCGAATAAAATTCAGTCCAAGTCAAGTCGGCAAGTTTCATGATGCCGTAAGTAGGCCCTTCAATTGAAACGTACTTTGTCTGGATAAGATTGGTGCATATCTGCGTACAACACTTCTTGGTCTTTTCTATGTAGAGCCGACCAGAAAATAGTTTGTACCCATAGCACACACATACTCAACTTGTCTCGCGACATTTCTTGTGTTTGAGCACGTGTTATGATGTGAGTGTCCAGTTCCAGAAGGTAATGTGACACTGGTGTTCCTTCGTCCGGCGGTACCATCATCGATACCAATAGTTCCGGTCTAGGATCGGTTGAGAATAGATGGACTATCATCTCGCTCTGCTCCTTCCACGTCTTTAGCTTTGCTATAGCAGCTTTCGCCTTCTCCAACTTATTATACTTGTAAGATGACGGCTTAAAACTCTGTTGCGCAGCCTCGAACCATAGGTTCTTACGTAAATTTGCAGTGAGCATAATTTGACAAAATTCTTTCAAAGATCGCGACAATAATGCTAAGTTACTCGTATCGATAGGGTCCTTACAGTCTTTTCGATCCGGACGATATGTAGTGGGTAACTTACCTATGTCCTTGACGAACTTCTTACTGTCCACTGTTTTCTCGGCGTGTATGATGCGTAGCTCCGTATCGATCTTGGATTGAATGTGCCTCGCCATTGTCATTCTCAACCTGGCTTGCTCTAACATTCCTTGATCCATTGCTAGCGTCGCCTCCTCTTCTGCGTTTAGCATTCGAGCAGTGAAATCAGCAATCTTCTTGTCACTCTCCGAAATCTCATCAACTTGCGTGTCAATATCCTCCAGGCCATGCAGCCACTGATTGTCTCCATCGTCACCGTCATCCTTTCGTGCCTTCTTGCGATCCGTCATCGTCGTCGATGTCCTCGACTGCTTTGCCGATGGCGGCAAGTAATCTGGTCCTGACGAGTCTGGTTCTTCAAATTTCGAGCGATGATTGATCCTCGTCTCCGCTAGAACTCTTATATTTCTCTTCCCCCGTATATTTTCGTTTGTCGGTCATCTTCCGGTCTTTGTATTCCTGGAATTTGCGCAGGTAATCATCTGTGTCCCGATCGCCTGAATCTTCTCCTCCAGAGTCCGCCCCCTGTTCTGATTCAGATATTGAGGCTTCTTTACCTTGTGGTATTAGGTCTCCCGTTCCCGATTCTATCTGCTTGTGCTTCGGTATCTCGTCAGCTGACTCCATCGGTGGATTTTTCTTCTCCCTAGACTTCTTTGATTTCTTGGGCTTGGTCTTGCCCGTTGTAACTACATCAAAAGAATCCGCTGGTAAAGCGTGTGCCATCATACTTGTCACAGCTTCATCCGCTTGTGGGTCAGGTGTCAAAGAGGGTTCCAAAGTCGTAACCTTCGGCTGGTTCTTTGATGCCTTCGCTTTCCCTTTACCCTTCGTCATATTCTTCCGATAGTGTATAAACTTAAAAATATGTAAAAGTCAGACTAACCAGGCTGACTATCGGTTTCAATAAGTTAAAGTAAAAGAAAAGTAAGATTTCAAAGTAAATTTGCACAATGTAATTTTAAGTTTAGTTTCAGCCCTTGGAAATGAGCTAAAGATTGAGGGATGTAAGACTGAGACTATTGTCTTAATGGCTCCGCTCTAATCACTCAATACTTCGGTCTAGATTTATTCGGTGTCAGTAACTAAGATCAGATTTCATTTCATTGGATGCATGGTATTTTCTTCTATACCATTTCATGCCTCGAAATTAATTTCCAATCGCAAATACCAATAAAATAACTCTAAGTCCAACTTGAGAAAAATAAAAGAAATCAAAAACGCCATGATGGCACAGTTAAATGTCTGTACCTATACCCCATCACATGGTACCTAGCTCTCCATCCCATTGAAGGCATAGACGGGCACATTTAGTTGGCCGGCTAGGGGGGATCATTTTTATGCCCCATTTCTCAGTAGGCTATCTCGAGCTGAGAGTATTTGGTAATACAACATGTGTCACCTAGTGTCAATATCACCGAAGACTCACCCAGTGTTGTATCCCAATATTCCGATGGAAAACACATCAGTGTAGAAAAATCATCATATCAATATCAACAGGGTCTCCGGCCTCTGTCGTATACAATTGTAATTCCAAATATCCAAATTAGATTATTTGTCTGTTTGTTTTCTGTAAACTCTATATATCTATAATTAGATTATTTGATTATTATACAGATACAAATATCTACAATTGCGTTTCAACGTATACTAGGTTTCATGACCGTAATAGCGTTTTAAACGTTATTACGTTTATACTATACGTTAACATGTGCTTCTACTATAGGAACCCGGTGATTTTACACAACCTAAGAACGATTGCCAAACTCGGGTTGGTATGCGCCGTTGGTTCTGTAGACCCGAGCCCCGGATTGCTCCTGCTAGTCTCAGGACTTTTGCTTTGAACACTGGTGTCATCTCGATTGTGTTGCTCTCAAGTCTATGAGAACGCCTAGATGTTGGAGTCTGGTTACTGGTCTTATCCAATAACCTTTTCCTGGTGCGAATTGTAGTTGAAACTCCATGAATATTGTTGTTACACTCCTGGCATGCTTTCGACAAGTCTTCGGCCAATCAGCAACAGAAGATCGTCGACATACAGTATTATTCGTATACCTCGAGCTCTTGTTACTTTCCTCACTACGTCTATCAGCTGGTTGAACCATGCTGGGGAGAACGTTGGCCCCATCGGTAATGCTAGGAAGCACCATAGCTGGTGCTTGTGGTCGCAAAATTGCCAGAGCCTGAGGTTGGCAACAGCTAACGCATAAAAGCCGTCCTTTATGTCGGCTGACATAGCTACATCCCCCGGTCGCGCAACATGCGTCAATCTTTCCAGATCTTCTGTTCTGAAGGTCTTCCTCTGAGCGTGAGTGTTGATGCTTCCGGATTTAGAATAAATCGGCCTCTCTTCCCGTCGGATTTTGGTATCATAAAGGCGCTGAGTGCACCAAAGTTGCCTCCGATTCCTGGCAACGTCGGATAATTCCGCCGTGTTCGAGTCGTAAAAATTCCGCCTGGATCATCGCCTCGTCCACCTCCGGAATTGTTATCCATCGCCCCTTCGTCGATGGAGGTGGAGGCTCCTTCGGCCCCCACTTGGGCCGCACGCCATACTTGATGGCCTGCAGAAGCTCCTGGGATACTCCGCTCTCTCTCCAAAATCTGTCCCAAATCCTTGACTAGGGCCACAATTACTCCACGATTAGCCTGCTCCCGATGCTCCACGGATAGGCCTCCCAAATCAATTTGATTTAAACAGTAGGCCAGATAATTGGCCCAAGTTAAAATAATTGTCAATTCCTTGATAACTGGAGCCTTCTGCTTCTCGTACCACGACGGAGTCACAATTGGCGAGTTCTTCAACCCGTCTGGAAACCGAGCGTGGTCTTGGCACCACACACAGCCGCAGCAGAGTTCTCAGCCACACCAGTGCTCCACTCACCGTTAGACAGAGCCGGACACTCCAAGACTGTGTTGAAGTGTACTGATGTTGAGACTCCGGTGATGTGTAACCGGAGCCCGTATAAAGAATTACGCCCTGTACCAGGGACAGCGTAGCCACATACTTCAATCTCATGCGCGTTCGTTCGGCGGCGTCGCGAGGATGAACTGGACTAGCTGGATTTACGTCCATTGCGACTGCCAGGGATGCTGATGTTTGTATGAGAGCTAACGCTTATACTTAATTAAGTAGAAGGAAATATGGATGGGGGAGTGTCTCCACTTCATCGTCCTTTTATACTCCTATTTGATTAGGAATATGAAAAGAACGTAGAACAGGACGGTAAGGTCTTACTACAAATATGCGTGTTACTGTTAAATAGTTAAAATGCTTAACAGTAACGCACAATTAGTGGAAGACTTTACTGGTGCTACTCTCTGTTTCATAATACTATTAGAATGTAAACATTCCAGAATATAGATATATATAGACATACTAAGTATATACCTATTGCGTATATATTTATACATATTACATGTATATATATATATATATATACGTATACGTATATGGATATACGTATATGTTTATGTATAGATATATATATATATATATATATATACATATATATATACATACATACACACACACAC